AGGTGTGGCCCTGTGCTCTCTCTCTCCTCCAGGTGTGGTCCTGTGCTCTCTCCTCCAGGTGTGGCCCTGGGCTCTCTCCTCCAGGTGTGGCCCTATGCTCTCTCTCTCCTCCAGGTGTGGTCCTGTGCTCTCTCCTCCAGGTGTGGCACTGAGCTCTCTCCTCCAGGTGTGGCCCTATGCTCTCTCTCTCCTCCAGGTGTGGCCCTGGGCTCTCTCCTCCAGGTGTAGCCCTGTGCTCTCTCTCTCCTCCAGGTGTGGTCCTGTGCTCTCTCTCTCCTCTAGGTGTGGCCCTGTGCTCTCTCTCTCTCTCCTCCAGGTGTGGTCCTGTGCTCTCTCTCTCTCTCCTCCAGGTGTGGCCCTGTGCTCTCTCTCTCCTCCAGTGTGGCCCTGTGCTCTCTCTCCTCCAGGTGTGGTCCTGTGCTCTCTCTCTCCTCCAGGTGTGGCCCTGTGCTCTCTCTCTCCTCCAGTGTGGCCCTGTGCTCTCTCTCCTCCAGGTGTGGTCCTGTGCTCTCTCTCCTCCAGGTGTGGCCCTGTGCTCTCTCTCTCCTCCAGGTGTGGCCCTGTGCTCTCTCTCCTCCAGGTGTGGTCCTGTGCTCTCTCTCTCCTCCAGGTGTGGTCCTGTGCTCTCTCTCTCCTCCAGGTGTGGCCCTGTGCTCTCTCTCCTCCAGGTGTGGCCCTGTGCTCTCTCTCCTCCAGGTGTGGTCCTGTGCTCTCTCTCCTCCAGGTGTGGCCCTGTGCTCTCTCTCTCCTTCAGGTGTGGCCCTATGCTCTCTCTCTCCTCCAGGTGTGGCCCTGTGCTCTCTCTCTCCTCCAGTGTGGCCCTGTGCTCTCTCTCCTCCAGGTGTGGTCCTGTGCTCTCTCTCTCTCTCCTCCAGGTGTGGCCCTGTGCTCTCTCTCTCTCTCCTCCAGGTGTGGCCCTGTGCTCTCTCTCTCCTCCAGTGTGGCCCTGTGCTCTCTCTCCTCCAGGTGTGGTCCTGTGCTCTCTCTCTCCTCCAGGTGTGGCCCTGTGCTCTCTCTCTCCTCCAGGTGTGGTCCTGTGCTCTCTCTCTCCTCCAGGTGTGGCCCTGTGCTCTCTCTCCTCCAGTGTGGCCCTGTGCTCTCTCTCTCCTCCAGGTGTGGCCCTGTGCACCTGCTCATGCTTATTTTTCTTCTTCTTTGTTGCCTGCTTACTATGCTCATCCATGCCTTTTTTAAAGTTAAAAAAAAATTTTTTTTCTATTCTTTTTCTTGTTCTACTCAAAGAGGACAGCCAGTTTCAAGTTCTCCTCCTTTACTCCCTTCTGAGCCACATACTGTAGAGGGGCAACTTGGCTCTGAGTTTCAGAGGTTATTGTCCAGAGTCAGCTGGGCCCATTGCTTTGTGACTGAGCTGCTCACCTCAAGTCAGCTAAGGAGTAGAAAGAGCAGTGAGGGACCGGGGACAAGAACACCAGCCCAGTGACCTGCTTCCTCCAATTAGATCCTATTTCTAAAAGTTTCTGTGACCTTCCAGCAGTACAGTCACATGGGTGACTGGGGAGGTCAGACCCTCAGGAGCAGCCATTGCTCAGCGGCTGCACCTAGCAGCTGAGGCCAAGCTTCACCACTTAGTTCTCTGGAGCACACCTCACTATTGAGGGTTCAGGCAGGAGGCTTACAGCAGGCTGGTTGGGGTGACTAAAAAGTTCCGAGGGCCAGTGAATCAGTTCATTCACGTATCATTTTTCTCATGGCTCCTTACTCTTCAATGAAGGAGGTTCTTCCCAAAAGTTCTCTCTCAAAAGCTCTCTTTAAGATTTCTCCTTAAAAGTTCTCTCTAATAATTTTCCCTCTAGAAAATCTCTTTTAAAGTTCTCTTTCAAAAGTTCTTAAAAATTTTCCTAGAGTTCTTTCTGAAAATTCTCTGAAAGTTCCTTCTAAAAGTTTCTTCTAAAAATTCTTCAGAAGTTCCCTTTCTTCCCACAAGGGTTGCAGTTATATACCCACAGACACATTTAACAACTCTGACAACTGCATGTCTCTCAGAGTCAGGGAGGCAGATAAGGTCTTGACAAAAGCAGAGTGCCTCATGTCTGGTCAGGGCAAACTCAAGTCTCAGAGGGGATGCAACTTGCAAAATGTGCTGTTAACTGATTAAAGGGGATTTCTCAGCGATGTATCAAAGGGAAAAACTAAGGCTATGTAGTGTGAGATCCAGAGGCTGCTCTGTAAGCAGTGGGGCTCTCTTACCTAATGAGAGGGAATTCCTTCCTCTGGGGCCTACTTGAGAATACAAAGCCAAATTCATAGTAACAAATCTTCTGGAGTTGATATCTAGAATATTAATTGCTACTTCTGTAATGAATGATAAAGGCTCCCAACACTTCACCCCAAAATTGGAACGGGATTTACTTAGGTACAGAACCTCACATTTTCTCATCCTGAGCTTTTGTTTTTAGTTATAAAAGAGAAGAAATACCTTTTTTATAAGTGGAGTGTGGTTCAACGATTGGCCCAGTGGTCATGGTTTCTTGCGTTATTTAGCATTCCCATAGTCTAGTATGCAGAGAACATGTCTTATGCAAAACATCAGATTCAGTGTCCAGAGAAATGCAATTTTTAAGTTTTCTTTATATTTAACTTAACTTTTATGCAGCACTAGAACTTTTAGACAAGACAGTGATTGTATTTATATGGTTCCCCAGAAGCCCTCTAAAGACAATAGGCTGTAGATGTGACTGTGAGAGGAGTTTTGTTAACTGGCTTATGCCATTAGAGTCTGAGTAGACACAATGGCCATCTCAAGGCTGGAGAGCCTAGGAAACCAATATGCTAGAAGGGCCAGTGGCTTTGCCTGGAAACTTCTTGGTGAGTTGCTGGGAGCACATCTAGAGGCTGGTATTCATGGGCAGGGGACATGGAAACACCCTCTGCTTAGGGAGGATGGAGCTGTGCAAGCCAGCTCCCTTCTGCCCCATCCCCTACCCCACAAGCCTGTTCAGGGTAGCTTTTCACCACTTCAGCTGCCTTCCCCACATGCCCATCATTTCCAGAAACACCTTCACAGATGTCCAGAAATCTGCTTATCAATATTCTGGGTATTTAGAGTCTACTCAGCCAGCTTGACAGCTAGGATTAGCCATCAGTCTTGAATAGGGGGAGTCTTTCTTCTTTGAGTGCCAAAGGCCAGTGAGAATTTTGTTCCATACGAGCCATTAGTTTTCACTCAATTAAAACCTGTCTGAAGCCACATTTATGAACAACGTGATGGGTTAGAGCTGTGCTGGGGATCTGCAGCTTTATCTTTGTGCAGTCTTTGAGCAAGGGCTGGTCTTCATCTGTGACTGCTGTTTGTTAGTCACTGTGGTCTCTGAAGGGCTGAGTGGAGGAATCATGGAGTCTGTTTGTGGAAGATACACTCTGCAGCCCTCTCAGCATTTCTCCCATGCTTGTAGTTTCCATGGAATTGGCCCACCATCAGCAGCAGGGGTCCATTTCAACATTGGCTTCCAGTCCTTGTTTCTCTGTTACTATGGAGACTGCCTAGAAAGTGGCAGAAAAGCCAAAAGTTAAAAAAAAACAAAACAATAAACAAAAAACAAAAAAACAAAACAAAAAAACTCACACACACCAGTGATTCAATAACAGTATGTGGTTGGAACCGTATGTGGCTGTAGCCATGTATTCCATAACAGCCTGACTCTCCAGTGAGTGTGTGTGTGACACAAACTCAATACTTTGAACAGAGCCAAGTTTGATGCTTAACAATTGGGTGGAGCCCCGGGTGAACCGAAACACTAAATAGAGGCTGAAGGCAGAGCTGCTGATATGGCCTCTATGTGAAGAGCAAGCGGGTGGGGGGGGCACAGTGGACAGTCAAAACAGTGAGCAGCCATGGCCTGGGGAGCAGAACCCGAGAGCAGCATTGACTATGTGTGATACCATGTCTAAAGCACACGGCACTTATTATGTGATTTTGGTGTATATGGCGCGCGTGTGTGAGTGTGTGTGCATGCCTGGTACTCAAGGAGCGTGTGGAAGAAGAGGGAGCCAGAGGTGCAGGATTCTACCATGAGATAGGGTCTTCTGTATATGACAAGGAAGTTGCATCTGTGAAACCTCAGCTCTACGTTCAACTAATAAGATGTGCACAGCGATGTCACTGGTGACATTCCAGCCTGGATGAGAGACCCCTCCCCCCACTGGATGAATGCTGAGGAGGGGAGAATCTGTCTATCCCAGGGAAACTCCCAGTTGTGGGTGTGTAGTCCCAAAATAGTCTGCATTACAAACACACACACACACACACACACACACACACACACACACACACACACACACACACACACAGTTTTTGGGGGACCATTAGGTCTCACCTGTCTTTGAATGAGGTGGCACTCTTTAATCACACTCATCATCCCACTCTGGAGAGGAAGGGTCCAATACTTAAAAAGCTCTTTTGAGGTCTTGAGAACTTGGAGGCCCTTTTTAGGAAACAGACCCAGATGTCTTAAATGGCTTACATATAATGTCAGGGTTTCAGGCACGTTCCTGCTTTCCTGTGTCAGATGAGGGACAGCTAATTGCTAATAAAACAACCATAATCACAACTTGGTGTGGTTTTCTTCTTGGACTGGACTGCATGTTTGTGCAGTCTGCAGCCTGTCTGTCCCATGTCACTACTCATCGAACAGGCGTCACGTTTCCTCCCAGTTTTGAGCAGGAAATTCAATACTGCCTGAACTGGGGCTCATCTCCCACCCTCAGAAATTTCTAAGCAGTTTCACATATACCTACCTGGCTCTCCCTAGTGTGCTGAGTTTCAGCACACAGGTAGCAGTCTGTCAGCTCTGGGCAAATGAAACCCTGAAGGGAAAGGTTGAAACCATTTCTGGGTTTGACTCTCTAGCGTTGCAGATGTGAGGAAGCGGTGGGTTGGGTAAAAAGAACGAAATTGCTAAATGGGGCAAAAAAAAAAAAAAAAAAAAAAAAAAAAGCCTGTTTTCCGCTCACAAGGCCAGATGTGTGCTCTGTCCTCTCAGGAGAGTCAAGCCCCACGCGCCGGGAGGCCGTGAAGAGAAGGACAGCTGAGTACCTGATGCGTGCAGAGAGCATCTCTAGCTTTCGGGCCACACCTCAGCTCGATGCTGGACTGCAGGTATGACAGGGGCCTTCTCTTTATGTTCTTTAGTTTTGTTTTGGTTTCTACCTTTCAGCTTTATTTATAACTAGAATATTTGAGAATTTTGGTTTTCAGAATTTTTCTGTAATTTTTTTTTTTTTAAGTTGTCAGAAGGGAAGCCACAAGAGTAGAATAAGAGGGTTTGCTTCTCACCCACAGCCTTCTATACCTTGTCTCTGCCCAGGGGAGATGAGGACAAGAGTTTAAGGAAGTAAGATTGATCCTGGCTCTGTAGGCAGTCATGGCAGGAAGAAGCATGGAAGCTGAAGCAGCTCAGAGCTTGCTCACATCTACCTGGAGCAGGAAGCAGAGGGGTGCTTCTTTTCCTCTTTTTATTCTGGTCTGGACCTGAGCCCATGGGGTGGTGCTGCCCACATTCAGGGCAGGCCTTCCCTCTTCCTTTGTACTCCTCTGGAAGCATCCTCATAGATGTGCCTAGCAGTGTGTCTCCTAGGTGATTCCAAGTAAGATTGACAGTGCAGGTAAAACATCAAGCTTCCTATTGTCTTAATCTCACCATCTTGTAAGAAGCCATGGCTTATTGTCCATAGCCCTGCTCTTGAGTTTTGGAAGCCACAGTTCTTGTGAATACCTGTGCAGCTTTATCAATTATGTGGAAACTGTGCTGGGGAAAGTCCTGTAGGGATTTGTTGGAGGCACAATGATGTAGGGATGTTTTAGGCTGTTTGGAATTAGCCCAACCCTGTCTTCATGGCATAAGGCTTTAGAAACATTATTGTTTGATTGCTTTTATGTCAAGTCTATCTGGGTTTGTCCAGTTTCTGGAAGTAGTTTTTTTGTTTTAAATTCTTACTAAGGTTTTCTGTAAATGGGAGAAAATGTTTAGTTTTTATCCTTAATTGATCCAAGGGGCAGATAGTCTTGGTATATTATGTTATTTGAAGCCATGAAAGAGACAACAAAATTGTTTAAAAAATGTAATGTCTAGTGTGTTAGAGATTGTGTGTGCACACATGTAGTGGGAGTAGTTTTTCCACATGTTGGTCCCAGGGATCAAATTCAGGTTGTCATCTTGGTGGCAAGTCCTTTACCCACTGAGCCATCTTGCTGGTTCTGCATGTGGTTTGGCACAGACACTTCCTAGTGTCTGTTTCTGCATCTGGAAAATGAGGGTCGTCACACTCCTTTTCGGGCAGTTATTATGACTGTTCCTAGTTATGGATGCAGAGCTTCTGTCCTTCACAGAGCAAGTGCCTCCCTTCCCCACTTTGCTTTGGTAACAATGGTGAACATATCAAATAACATAGGTGCTATACTGACTCCATCCTGTACGGCTGTAGTGTTACAAGAATGCCCCCAGTAGTCATTTTGAATGTTACCTATGTTGCCTTCTGTCCTTCCTGTGCATCCCTGGTCAGTATCCTGCTGGCTTTCCATGAATCATAATTTCTTCTTGTAAGATTTACTTTATTAGCCCATCCTGACTGCAGTGGTTTATAACATTCTGTACATGCATATGCATAGTTGGAGTCATAGCAAATAAACACAAGGCTTCCTGGGTAGCACTTGGTTTGGAGAATCAATCCCTATATAGATGAGTAAGAGCCTCACATTAAGCATAACTTGTAGTGAAAATAAAGCTAAGGTCTAAAGAGGCTACTTATTCATTGAACATCTTTTAAGACTTTTAAGACCAGACACACGAAGGAGCTGCACAGAGCATGACACAACCCTCTTCTTGCAAACTTTACAGCATGACTGAGCACAACTCTGTAGCTCAGGAGACGAAGCTTGGAGAGATTGTCCAGAGTTGACACAATAGTGGGGAATTGTCCCCAAAGGGCAAAAGGGGCAACCACTGGTTCTGATCTGATAGGGAATTTGTTTCTGGTTGAGGGCAACTGGAGGAGAGAATAGACATGGTATCTTTCTTTATTGTAAGCATTTTGCTTTTCATTTCCCACTTGTGTGTTTTCTGTGAAGCCTGCCTCTACACTGCTTAGGAGCAGGCTCAGTTATTTTCTTGAGATTAGTTTGGTGAACCTGTTGTTTCTCTCCTTAAACTGTCTTTGGGTCTGAATTTCAGCAGACAGGATGAAGATTGCTGAGTGATTTGGCCCTTTTTCTTAGTGTTGTGCAAAGGAGCCTCGACTTCTTTTGCAAACATCTCCCTGTAGCTGCTTCAGTAGATAAAGGATTCCTTTGGGGGCTTCAACATTGTTAGTCTCCATCTTCCCCCCTGGGGGCTGTGGCTGCTCCCTCTCTTGGCCCAGGCCTTTTCTTTGCTTTATTTAACTTGGAAGCCTTGTAGCATCTTAAGTGGTAAATGTAGAAAACCTAAACTTCCCATCATCTGTAATCATATCTTTTGCAAACAAATGTTGGAAAAAGAAACCAGTAGAACACTCTCCCAGCTTTTCTTCATTCATCATACCTGAAAGCTCCCCCCCCCCAAAAAAAAAAAATGGAGAGGTGGCTTTCTGATAAAGGTAGAATCTTGACTGAGGGAGACAGGTTGCTTTGATTTTTATTTTTCCAAATTGTGAAAGATTTAAAATAGCATTTCTTTTTTTGCCTAATGAAAATTTAAAAGCAATGACATTTAGAAAAGGGACAGTAAATTATCTAAATGGAGGACATAAAACATGTAAATACATTTTATTCTGCAGTTACTGGGGGCGGGGGTGAATGTCTCTACATATAGTGATGCATGGTGTTCTGAGGTCTTGTAGATTCTGAGCACAACTGTGACGACGGCATCGATGGTACATTTGTGTTTGCTGATGCTGTTGGCAGACTCACCAGCTGTCCCTGGAAGTCTTGAAACTCAGCAAGAAAGGTGTCAGTAGAGCATGGGACTCAGTAACAGGCAGTTAGATGTCAGGTGCGCAAGCCATCTAAGGAGAGTGGTCAAGCTAGTCATTTGTTCAGGAAGCCTTTGCACAAGAACTTGTGTTCAGGGATTCTGTGTGCTGGCTTCCCCACTGCAGGGCTTATAAGTATCCACTAACGTCCTTAGCCAGAGGATTCTTGACACCTTCCCTTTCCTCTTGTTACTTTCTTTCCCCGACACTAATGACTGTTGCTCTGGTGTTCTGAGTGGGCCTGGTGAGCCAGCATCAGCTGCCACTCCAGGGAGCTTGTGGGAGGCATAGAGTCTTGGGAGCCCTCCTGCTTCTGGGTTTTCCCTTTGGTAGGACCTCAAACAATGTGCAAAACCACTGTAGTGGAGGAATGCTGTGTCTACAGTGGGTGGAGACTGCACAGTGAGGACACTGAATAAAAGACTTGGGTAGGTCAACCAGCAGCTTAACAAAATGCAGAACTCTAAGGCGAAACCAGGCAGTCTTCACTTAACCTTTTAGAGGACAGAAAGAGCAAGCAGAATTTTTACTGTGTGCTAGCTACAGGTAACAGGTACTGGCTGTGGAGAGCGCTACTGAAAGCTACGCATCCCAGATGCTGAGGCTTTGGCCAGTTGAGCAGTATGATCTTGCCATTGCTTTTGGGTCGTCAAACCTTCTTGTCTCACCTCTCTTGTCTTGACATCATCTGCTTTCTATCATGTTACATATAAGAGAAGCACTCTTTTTACATCACAGGCCATCAGCAAGGTTGCCTAGGAAGTTATTCCCTGTTCCTTGGACATAGTGTATGTACTGCTGTTGGCAGTGCTGGTAAGAGTTTTGTCATGAGAAGTTTCCTGCCAGCCTGGTCCCACAGCTGTGTCAGCCCCAAATAACACACAGAAATGCTGTATTAGATATAAAACTGTTGGCCTGTTAATAGCGTTTCTCATTGGCTAGCTCTGTCTTAAATATTAATCCATTTCTATTAATTTAAGTGTTTCCATGTGGTCTTATCTTACAGGATAGAGGATCTAGACCTCTTCTCTTTCAAGTCTCTACATCTTGATTGTCCTACATCTCCCAGAATCCTCCTTATCTCCTAGTCCCACTTAACTTGACTTCCGATTGGCCAGCGATGCTTTATTCATTAACCAGTAAGAGAAACATATTTACAGAATGACCTCCCATCAGAGTTTATTATTTCATTCACTTTGGAACAGGGTGTCTCTTGAAACCCCTGGCTGGCCTCACCTTCCTGGTAATCCTCCTATGTCAACAACCCGAGTGCTGGGATTACATGCACTACCTCCCCTGGATACAATTGTAGGTTATCCCTCTCTTTGGTTACTAGCTTTTGTCACCATAGATGCTTGGCTGCATCACTTCCCAGTTTCCCCTGTTAGAAAGAGAAAGCCTTTTTCTACTCTTAAATTGTGTGGATTTACTTTCCTTTTGCTGCCTGAAGACAGGCATAGGTCTGTGGAGTTACTCATGATTTAGGTGCTGTTACATAGAAAAAAAGAGGTTTTTAAGAACAACACATTTACTTTTGACTATTTCATATGTATGTACAATATATTTTGATCATATTCTTTCCTCAGTTCTCCCAGATCCATTCCCCACTTTCATTCCCATCCTCTTCCAATACTATGTCCTCCTTTATGACCCATGAAGTCCAGGGGCCCAAGTGTGTGCCCAGGTCTTCCTTTTCTTGGTAATGCGTTAGAGTGTGTGCGCACATGTACATGCGTGCACGTGTATGAGTTTCTATTTGCATGCTGTATAGTAGAAAGATTGCCCCTGTAGGGTGGGGAGCTGAGGTCTATCTAGGATGCCACTGTGTCTTTGTGAGGGAGGCGATTCATTACTCCAGCTTTCCCTTTACATAGGAGAGAAATGGTATTGTTAGAGTAGCTTCCTATGAGGGGTGGGTGGGTAAAGATGAAGTAATACCATGTAGAAGGGACTTCCCTCCCACGTGGAACACTAATATCATGATATACGTCTGGTGCATAAGTGTACAATCTAGACGTTAAGCTTCCAAGGGGGCAGCAATGTGTCCATTTTCTGACATGTACTTTAGTTCCTAACGAAGTGGGATAGCAAATAACATTTGTTGAGACATCTAAGAGATCCAAATCTTGTCATTTATAAAAGATTATTATTGTCTTGTCCAATTGAGATACTTTCTCAAGTCAAATTATCTCTGAAACACAAAAGCTGGGGCTAAGGATGGCTCTGTCGATGAAGCATGAGGTTTTTTGGATCCCAACACCTACGTGAAAAGTTGAGTATGGCATTGCATGTCTATAATCCTAGCACAGGGGAGGGGAGGATGAGACACCAGGATCCATGAAGCCTGCTGACCAGCCAGCCAGTCGAGCCATTCACTGAGCTCCTGGCTCAGTGAGAGACCCCACCCCCAGCAGTAAGATGGAGAGTGACTGAGGAAGGCATCCAGTGTTGGCCTCTGGCCTCCACATGCGTGTACATACATATGTACACACACACACACACACACACACACACAGACACACACAGCCAGATGTAGTACACCTCTGTAATCCCAGCATGTTGGAGGTAGAGGCATGAGGATCCAGAGTTCAAGATCAACCTTGGATACAAAGCAAACTCAAGGCCTGCCTGGGCTACATGAGCCCCTGTCTACAAAATCCAAACCAAACTGAACACCTTCTCCCATACTCCAGCATCACCATTCCAGATGGTATGGGTTCAGCCTTGGCTCTCTACACCCAGAGATAAGGAAACAAGTGGAAGGCAGTAAGAATGCTTTCTTTAGAGTTTCCCAGGTAGTAACTTACCCATGATAACTGTGCCCAACTCCCCCAAGCATCCTCCTTGCTGGCTTCCCTCTGCTTCCTCCTCTCTCTTCCTTTCTGTTAGCCCCACTACTGCCTCAGCTGCTGCTGCAGACCTCCCCCCAGGGGTGGGGGGTGGGTGACCAGGGTGCCGTTCTTCCCAGGAGCTCTGTGTAGCTGTGCTCCTCTGCACAGGGACATAAACATCCAGAGCCGAGTCTCGGTAATTCCCTTATCATGCTGCGTGTTTGGCTGTCCCCTCTCTGTTCTGATTGTTTGTTGTAAAACCTGTCCCTTGTAACAACAGGCTTTATGTACCCTGACATCCTTCGAAGGGTCACAGTTTTACTGTGAGGAGTAATTACAGAAGTCCTTTCTGAACACAAGTGTCACCTGGAGGTGTTGTGCACCTTTCTCTTCTAAGGGCTTATTTTACTGCAGGGGTGTGGTGAGGGGGGAGCTAACTGGAGTTTGGAAGTTAATACTGTTTTTAACTGTGACACTCAAGCAGCCTTTTCTCATGTTCACTGGTCTTCTCTGCAGCTGTTCTCCACATCACAGATATACAAATATTTGAAGAAAAGTTTCTTTCTTCTCATAAATCATCCCCCCCAACCTTTGTTCTAATAATGACTGGTTATATTTATGGGGCATTTATTTTCTTCATCATTGTTTGGTGATTTTTCTTGTTGAACTCAAATGTGCCGATTCTTCTTAAGACATATGGTATTTAAGGATCTAAGTGCTTAGTTTATTTTGTAAAGAAACACTAAAGGAGTATAGCTTCAAGGTAAGAGAATGCCTTTTGCCTTTGTGTTCCAAGTGAATCTGTTAATTACTTTTTTTCTTTGTTTCCTTCTTCCAAATTACTTTTGATCTGTCTGGGGTAAATACAAGGTTGTTGCTGACTCTGGCCCATTTACTTGATAGACATTTTTATGCTAGCTCTAAAAGCAGTATCTGCTCATTAACTTTTCCTTTTAAAAACCTGTTTTCAGGGCTGTGACTTATTTACTTGCGCTTTTGTCTTGCTTTTTCCTTTTGATTTTCTTTATTTTGATTTTTTTATTTTACATTACAGATAAATAGCAACTTTCTCCTTTTATCTTCTCTTCTCTGATTTATGATAAATTTAGTTTCCTTTGGCCTGACGTTTGCTTCAGTAGGCAGTCTTCCTTCAAGTACCTCCCCGATTGATGTGTAATCTTTGATATCTTCTATTAGCCTCCAGGATCACTAAGTTCAAGGCCCCCTTGGAACCTAAGGAGCCCCGCCGAGGAGCTGAAGGCCTTCAGAGTCCTTGGGGTGATTGACAAGGTAATTCTTCAGTGTCTCTTCAAGAGTTCAGTCATAAATGGACTGCATGCTGACATTCTGTCTTTGAAGCTGTGGATCTTAAGGCTATGAAACAAAAGGGGAAATGACTCAGATGCATCCGCACTGTAAAATAGCAAAGCAGCAGGGGGAAAGCGTTTACCTCAGCCATTCACATAAGGTCATGCAGAATACATCGTGCCAAGGAGAAGGTCTGTATTTGTTGTCGTTCACTTGAGTAAGGGGGTATTAAATTTTCCAAAGTGTGGTAGTCTGAGGATGCACTTTGCTGCTTACTCTGTGAATCTGCAGCTGTTAAACATTAATCGGTACAGTCATTTTTAACGGTCATAAAGAAAGGTGGAATTCCTGGTAGCTGTCATTTATGAGCACTTACTATGTGCCTACCCCACATCACACATGTGTGCACACACACTCACACACAAACGCAAATGGGTGTGCACACCCTAAGCTTCATGACATGTCAATCATGCCAAATGTTTATCAACACTCAGCCTGTCAATTTGGAAATACTAGATTGTTCTACCATTATAACATTAAAGAAAATGCCACTTAATGTTGACATGAGTCTTGACCCCTTGACCACTGGGCATTGTTCCTAAAGCACCTTAGTGTTGTTTGTTTTGGTTCATTGGATGCCGCTTGCCTTCCGAAGTGACCTTGTGAGTCCGTGTTGCACTGGAGCAATCTGTAGTGCAGCTTGTGAAGCTTGGGCAAGTGCTCATAGTTTGAAGGGTTCCAAAAAGAACACCAACTCAGAACTTTGAGGAAGTAAAGTTCATTGTCTCACATAGTGAAGTTTGGATTAAAACAGTCTAAGCAGTAGGATCTTTTGAGTTGACTCAGTGTAATAATATTCTGTGGCCTTTGCATTATGGGGAACATTCTGTTTGAGAGTAGACAACCAGACAGTAACTGGGTGGATTCAGGTGCTGGGATTTTGGTAAAGACACGCTGTCTTCATGTGCCGTCTCATTCTTGTCAGACCTGTTTCTTATGACTCTGTGACTGTTCATTGTTGTGCTATGAGCCTCAAGTCACATGAAGTTCTGGTATCAGCCAGAAGCCCCACAGACGAAGAGAGGCAGACTGTTGGCAGCGGAGGGACACCATCGCTGTCTGACTCCATCAGCCAGTGCCTCTCAGGTGCAGCTCTCTAAGTGGCTAGAAGGAGCTCTGTGTCTGGGAACCAGTCAGCTTTGCAGGTGGTCTTAGTTCATAACATCATAACTGCTGGTGAAGTACAAGCAGGTAGATCTTAAAAATTGGATTGTTTAAGGTAAATTCCTTTCTGTTGTACTAAGGAATACTTTAAGTTTGGGTGTTAGAAACTTGGGGTTTGGAAGAGAGGTATTGAATAAATTCAGGTCTAGAAACCTTGCACAGGGTATGACAGTGCTGACTTGGGACAGCAGCTTCTCTGATTCTGTCTCATGTTAGTGTTTGCTATTTGTTTATTAACTTAGTGAGTTCAGTTTTGTATTGAGTTTCATTAGGAAATAAATTTCGTGAACCTCCACCCAGAGAGCAAATGAGGTAGTGTTTCTCTCAGTGTCCACATTGGGGACGTTATGAGCATAGCACTGTGCTGTTTTACTTCTCACCATGTTCTCTGTGCCTGGAATTGTGCCTAGTGCACCATGGGCCCTCAATGCCCCTGCTCAATGAGAGAATTTAAAATATATCATAGAGCGACATCTACTGGGACAATGTGGGACTGCTCCCTAGAACCATTCTATAATGCCTGTCTACCCAGAGGGACAAACATGCTGTGGCTTTAGTTTGTTTAGTTTGTTGGCTTAGTGTTCCAAAATGAAGGAAGCAATCTTCTGTTTCTTATTTGGAATTGTTAAACCCTTTATGCAACAAGGAGTTGGAGCATCCGAACTCATAGAGTATAGATAAACAGGTGCCCATTGCTTTGCAGAAGTGATCAGGCTGGTGAAGACCTTCAGAGTTCTGTCACAGGAAGACCAGGTGGAGAAGGTGGGCATTTTCACCTGATCAAATAAAGCATGTGTAAACTTCAGGTATTGGAGGGCTAGAGCTATGATAGCTAGAGGGCAAGAGGAGTGCTGGTTATGCTAAGACAGCAAGTGCATGCTGGCACCAGGAAGGCTACTGGGGCTCACTGTGAGGGGTTGTACGGAGTGGAGCTGCTTGTTAGTTGTAGTCCCCTTCTTCTCCCCTCCTCCCAGGAACTAGCTAGAACCAGAGAAGTTGAAGCTGCAGAGAGAAAGAGAGAATTGAACTCATGGTTAGAATTACCTGTTTTCTTCCTTAGTTCCCCCGCCCCATCTCCATTCCTTCCTTCCCTTTTCCTCCTCCTCCTCTTCACCTGAGACAGGATTTCTTGGTGTAGCCCTGGCTGTTCTGGACCTCGCTCTGCAGACCAGGATGTCCTTGAACTAGACAGCCTGCCTTTGCCTCCTGAGAGTAAATGTGTACACCACCACTGCCCAGCTAGAACTATCTTTCAAGGTTTAGTGTCTTAATCAAAGCTGGACTAGATAGGATACCTTCTGAGCTTCTTGTCAGTAGAGAGTCAGTGGAGGGATGCTGTGGATGGATGGGGTCAAGCATTTGGTGGATTTTGCACTAGATAACTTTGAAGATTTCCTTCTGCTCCCAGATGCATTTATAGATGTTTTACTTGTGTGGTAGAAGAAAACAAAACAAAACAAACAAATTTAAAAAAAGAGAGAGACAAACTGGGTGCTGAGATGGTCTCCCTTCATCTCTCAGAAGCTCATTGTCTTTCAAGTGTGTGAAGTATGAATGCACACTGTATATGTTCCAGTGCACAAGCATTTACATGCAGTTCATTGGAGATGTGGCTTGGTTGCTTGGCCTTTAGAGATCAAAAGCTGAGGGTGTTTCTGAAGAAGTCCACTGCTTCACAGGCCACTTTCTGGGTCACAGCCTCATCAGTAGTTAAGAGCCTTTGTCAAATCCCTCACCTTGAAGTTGTATAGATGCTGCACAGGTCCTCCTCATGGAGAGCTGGCAGAAGAGTAAACAGGACACTTTGGAATATATTGCAACTTCCTATGAGTTAAAAAACAAACTCAAAACAAAACAAAACAAAACAAGCTAGAATCAATGAAAGTGAAAACAAGAGATCAATAGGGAAATTAACCAAACTGAAGGCTAGTTCTCTGAACATCAGTCAGATTACTAGGCCTGTAGAGAGGATAATTAAGGAAGAAAGAACTCAGATATGAGAAGCCAGAGAGGTGACATCATTCCATCTTGTGCAGTGAACAGTTTGGATGTGATGGATTTAATCACCGTACAATTTGTCACCATCTCCCGGAGAGACAAAGCCTATTAACACACAGAGAAGGAACAGACCACTTGGGGGAGTGCGCATCTATCCACTAAGGAGACTGAGTCAGTACTTACTAACCACCCCAGACAGCAAGCACTAGATCCAAATGGAGTTGAATCCAGCCTAACATTTACAGAATACATTGAGCCAGTCCTCTATAGTGTCTTCCAAATATATAAAAGGAAACCATTGGTACACAGATTGGGGAAGAAGGTTTCTGTGCTTACCTGGAGGTGACATGGCTGTGTAATCTGACAAATTGATGTTTACATCAAGGTCACAAACCTAATGCACCACAACCAGTTGCTTTCCTATGTGATCAACTAGAATCTATAGTAAAAAATGGTATCAAGTGGCTGAGGACATAACTTAGTGGTAGAGAGCCTGTTTAGCATGCACAAGGCCCTGAGTTTGATCCGTCCCCAGGCATCAGCCAGCTCTGGTGGTGCACATCTGTGATCCCAACACCTAGGGTTCTGAGGCAGGAGGATCCTGAGTTTGAGGAGTGCAGCGTTACATAATGAGATCCTGTTTGACCCTGCTCTCCCTCAAATCTCCACACATACACTTCAAACTAAATGCTGATATATAAATTTAGAGAAATTGTGCATGCTGTCTATAAGGAAGACTGTGTAACCCTGATGAAATAAATCAAAGAACTGGAGAATTGAGAGTCTCAGGCATGGGTAAGAAGACCCTTGTTAGGAGGAGGTGAGCTCTTTGCAGCCTGAACTGTGGATTCAGTGTAGTCTGATTCAGTCTCAACAGGTAATTTTGTAGACATCAACAATCTGATTCCAGAGTTTATATGAAGGGACAAAAGACCCCAAACAGCCTGAGTAATATTGACAAAGAATCAGGACTGACACTTTCTGAGTTCAAGACTTATAAAGTCTGGTGGTCAAGATTGTTACCAGCTGGACTTTGTAACTGTGAAAGATACTGTGATGGGGATGGCAGACAAGCTTAATAGACTGGAGAAAATACATTAAAAAGATAACTGACCAAAGTCTGTTTTCTAGAACATACAAAGAGCTCCTGAAACTCAGTGACAACAAAGGAGCAACCAACCCCCAGCTAAGCAGTGGCCTATGGTGAGAGAGATGTGTCAGGGTATGCTCATCTGTTGCATTGAGGACTGCTGTGGTGGAGGGTGCTCAGAGTGGCCCAGCTGTGTGTGCTTGGGGCTAGCAATGGGGTTGGAAACTGCATTTTTGCATAGTTTTGCCAAATTGTTCTAAAGATAAAGTATTTAAAATGGAAACAAAACAAAACCAAAGCCCTCAAATCTACCACATTGGTTGAAGATGTGTCTTCATCCACAGTTATGTTAAAATATTAGGAGACAGGAGAAGCATGTGGCCCACATAGCAGCTGCCAGGTTTCTGCAGATGCCCAGTGGCCGCTGTGCCTTTGCATGTGGTTTTGATTGCCCGGGGCAGCCTTTGCGTCACAGGCTGCCTGCCTGTGTAGGGTTCTGTGGTCTCTGTAAATTGTTTAGGTCTTCACTCAGGAGGTAGTGGATATTTTTTTGTGTTGACAGAGCAAGGTTTTGAAGCCAGATCTGTCTCTCTAAAATTGTAACAAACTCATTGTTAGAACTGGATTGTTGTAGTGGTGACATCCACACTTCCTATCAACCTTTTCTACC